TTTTATTTTGACTACTGTATTTCTGAGGAAAACTGAATATTTAATAATAATAGTAACAGTAGTGATAATAATAATAATAGTTTTTATTTATATAGCATCTTTCAAAATCTCAAGGTCATTTTACAAGAAATAGGAGACAAGGAAAACTGAATATTTAATAATAATAATACTATTAATAATAACAGTAGTGCCACGCTGTTGCCTACTGTGTCAGAGCGAGGAGCAAAGGAGACGTAGGAGAATTCACCATGAACAGTCTTTATTTACAAAATAGAACCAAGGAACACACACGTAGGAACGGGGATCGACGTATAAGACACGCCAGACACTAGGAAACACAGGGTTAAAGTAAGAAGGAAACTAATGGGACACACCTGGGATCAATGGAACTAAACGGGGAACACCTGGAACAAATGATATTAATAAGGACAGGAACGGGAAGGACCAAATAAGGGCATAGGAGGAACACGGGGGAAAACCAGGACATGGAGCACATGGGGAACAAAACACAAGACACGGAACACAGGGGCAGTCCAAGGGTGTGACATTACCTCCCCCTCCTGGAAGGCACGTCCATGCGCCTCATAACTTCCAATGGGGAAGGGGGGTTGGGTGCTCTGGAGACCTCTAGGGACAGGCTTACACGGGACAGAAGGCCTCCAGGCTGGTGCAAATGACGTCAACTTTTTCAGAAATTCACGTTTTTGTTGATTAAATGGAGATGATACAGGCATTGTGTTCAAAAGCTTGTGCTTTAATTGAGGACACCTGATGTTAACAAACAGAATCACTGAAAGAGAAAATCAAATATTTTGGTTACCATTATGGTGGTCAGTGTTTGCTTTAGTTGGGCTCTTGACCCTTGAATTTTTAAACAGTTTTTTTTGGGCTGCTGTAGCTGAGTTATAGCAGCTAGACAAGCCAAGAGAAAAGGTGACCAGGTGGTGTTGGTTATGTTTTGACATCATTATCACTTGACCTGGATCTCTGAGTTGGGTGTATCTTATCCATTACAGCCATCCTGTGATTGTACAGTATAATCAGAGAGATTTTTAAAAGCGCTTCTGATCAAGACATCTTTAAAAAAAGAAAAAAAACTTTCATTTAGGCACACAGACATCAAGAATCAACGTGAGAACCTCAACAATGGTGACCATCAAAAGCATGTTGCAGTGCATTCTGGGTGCCACCAATCAAAACTCATCCAGTAAGATCAGTAAAAATTCAGTGATTCAGGTCAAATGATGATTATGTAAAACCATAACCAACACCACCTGATCACCTTTTCTCTTGGCATGTCTAGCTGCTATACCTCAGTTACAACAGCCATACAAAATGTATTGTTAAAAAGTCAAAGAGAGATTTTTAAAAGCGCTTCTGATCAAGACATCTTTAAAAAAAGAAAAAAAACTTTCATTTAGGCACACAGACATCAAGAATCAACGTGAGAACCTCAACAATGGTGACCATCAAAAGCATGTTGCAGTGCATTCTGGGTGCCACCAATCAAAACTCATCCAGTAAGATCAGTAAAAATTCAGTGATTCAGGTCAAATGATGATTATGTAAAACCATAACCAACACCACCTGATCACCTTTTCTCTTGGCATGTCTAGCTGCTATACCTCAGTTACAACAGCCATACAAAATGTATTGTTAAAAAGTCAAGGGTCAAGAGCCCAACTAAAGCAAACACTGACCACTGTAATGGTAACCTAAAAATTAAGATTTTCTCTTTCAGTGATTATGTTTGTTAACATCAGGTGTCTTCAATAACACTGTTTTGTGGGTCTGAAAACACAAGCTTTTGAACACAATGCCTGTATCATCTCCATGTAAACAACAAAAATGTGTATTTGTGAAAACGTTGACGTCATGTGCATGCATATTGCATTTTTGCGGGTTGTTTCTTGATCGCCAACTACTGGCCTGGCATGCATAACATAGTATTCTTTAGAATGGTGTTTTTTTTTGTCCAATGAAACCAATGTTTTTGTTTAAATTTTACTTATTTTTTTCATGCTATTTTACTAATTTTGAATGGTTGATTGTAAACATCTCATTTGATTAATTCTAATTAATTCTAATGTGTTAAATTTAATTAATAATATTGCTTGTAATATTTTGAAACAATTTTATTGTGAATCATTTTTTACAGTGTACGCACCTCGGTTGGATTGTTTAAAGGCACGGTGAGTCTCTGGCTGTTCTTCTTTCAGACAAATACATTCGGAGTTATATTAAAAAATAAAAATATATTAAATAAATATATTAATGGCAGTGAATGGTTGTTGAGATTTTGAAACAAAATAAAGTGCATCCATCCATCATAAAAAGTGTTCCACACAGCTCCGGGGGGTTAATAAAGGCCTTCTGAGGTGAATTGATGCGTGTGTAAGAAAATATTCATATTTAAAATTTTATAAATCGTAATCTCTAGCTTCGGCTAACTGTCGTACACACATTCACGAGACTGTGGCGTTCAAGCAGATAATGTAGGACGTAGGCATAGCATAAGCTCTGGTGAGAATATAGAATATTTACTTGTTCTTCTAATTCGTGACCTGTGTTTTGTTTTGCGCTCTCCACTGCGCTTGGAAGAGCCAGGACATTTTTTAACACAACTCAGATTGTATTAGTCTGAAAGAAGAAAGTCATATACAACTAAGATGGCTTGAGAGTGAGTAAATCATGTGGTAATTTTCATTTTTGGGTGAACTATCCCTTTAAACCTAAACTCCACTCAAAAATGAAAAATTTCTCATTATTTACTCACCCTCATGCCGTCTTCGATCTATATAACTTTTCTCTTCAGATAAACACAAATGAAGATTGTTAGAAAAATATTGCATCTCTGGGAGCCCATATAATGAAATATAAGTGCATAGCATCCTTAAAGTTGTTAAGCTCGTTTTGAAGCTGATGTGAAGTGAAGCAGAAGCACAGAGTCACTTTTGTCGTGAGCTTCATTATGTAGTTACATGTTCACATGAACACACATATGACAGTTGGCCTGAAGCACTTAAAAATTAAAAATGGTCTTACGCACACCTATGGTTTTGCTTTAGAAAACAGTACTGATTAATCAACTGGGGTCTTTGTGGTTTATAGCTGTTTGTTTTGCATGGTTTTTGAAGCATAAACCTTCAGGTTACTATAATTGTACTATATAATTTGCATTATAATGGACTGACAGAGGCTGATTTTTGTTTTTCGAAACTTCATTTGTGTTCATTTGAAGGAAAATAATTCATACAGATCTGTTATGTCATAACAGCGAGTAAATTGATGAGAAAACATTACATATAATTGTTTAATTGGAGCTTAATGTATGTTCTTACATCAGTTTCTCCAGTTTACAGTAAGGATCCTTCAGTCCATCAGAGAGCAGCTTCAGACCTGCATCTCCTACTTTATTCCCAGACAGATCCAGTTCTCTCAGCTGTAAGGAGTTTGATTTCAGAGCTGAACTCAGAGCAGCACAACCTTCAGCTGTGACGCCACAATTACTCAACCTGCAGAACAACAACACACTCTTTACTCTCAGTTCAGGATATAAAATTTAACAGTGGGTTTCATCAACATTCATAGCAATTACAGTGGTTTCAACAACCATAAAATTCTTAAACACAAGTTTACAGACATGCAAACTTCATTGTATCGGAAGATTAGAGATAGTCTCACTAGAGGAGCAATAGATGAGGTTGCAGACATTCACAGAAAATACAGGTGACAGAAATTCAAAACCCAATCCTTTAAATTAGCCTCTTAATCTCAAGTTTACTGTTAATGTGGAAGGGAAGAGACACCAAAGTGTGTTTTTTGTCTAAATTAATATTACAATTGTCAATAAAAATAGAGAAGCTCTGCACTAAAACACACACATCTGAAGATTACACTCAGTGCTACTTACTGAGCGGATCTGGAGGCTTCAACGACAGGCAAGAGCTTCAGAAGAACTTCATCAGATGTCATGTGGTTTTGGCCACTACTAATGTATTTACTGAAATCAAATTGATCCAACTGCTCTGAGGTCAACAAAACAAAGACAACAGCTGACCACTGTGACGAGGACAATCTAGCGCCTGACAGACCTCCAGATCTGAGATACTCCTGGACTTCACTGACGAGAGACTGATCGCCCAGTTCATTTAAACAGTGGAACAGATTGATAGATTTCTCTGGTGAGGGATTCATTCTTATTCTGGTTTTAATGTACTCAACCGTTTTCTCTTTGCTGTATGAGATGTTCCCAATGTGTGTCAGAAGATATTTCAGGAGCGTCTGATTGGACTCCAGTGAGAGACCCAGAAGAAATCGGAGGAAAAGGTCCAGATGTCCATTCTTACTCTGTAAAGCCTTGTCCACGGCTCTCTGATGCAGGTCAGATATTGTGTGACATGTGAACTCGTGTGCATGTTTTGAGCTGAGGTTTACATTGAGCACATCCCTCTTGTCCAGCAGGAATGAAAGCAGCACATATAGAGCTGCGAGATGCTCCTGAATGCTCAGATGAACAAAGCAGAAG